CCTCCTCTCCCTCCCTTCAGTAGTCTTCAGCCATGGCCAGTAAGACAAGGCTGGTCCAGCCGTGGAAAGGGCGGCAGCCCATGCCTCGCCCATCTCGGTCACTATACTGCTCCCAGAGAAAGCCTGTAGCCTGGTACTGGCGCCATACATTGCCTACCACATTGGCACGGAGCTCACTGTGGAGTTTGGCAGCCCGAGCCTGGTGAGGACCCTCCAGATGCCCATAGTGGTGGAGTGCTCCCAAAGCCAGGTAGTTGACATTGAGCCACACAGCACCCCGCCAGTAGGGGGGATCATGCTCTGAATTGCGCTGGCCATAAAAGGAGCTGGAGGCTGCAAGGGAGCGTAAACCAAAGGGGCTCCAGAGATGGCGGCTGTCAGCTAGAATGTCCAGCAGGGGCCCAAGGCGGGATGAGTTGGGGTCCAGCAGTCGCAGCAGCAAGGGAAAAAGACTGACATAGCCAAGGGCATCTACATACTGCAGTCGAGGTTGGGGCCGGCCCACCACCCGAACCAGCCCCTGAGGGGGCCTGGGCTTCAGCTGTACTGCTTTTGTGTGGTTCCCAAAGTCTGCAAAGACTCCTAGCTCTGGGGCCCAGTGCAGCTCATCCAGGCTCTCTGCTGCCTCCAGTGAGGCAGCCAGTGAGCCCAGCTCAGCAGCTACCTCAGCCTCACCCAGATACTCTGCCAGCTGCGTCAGCACACGGGCACCCAGTGCCACCCAACATCGCAGGTCCAGGTGCCGTTCGGTGACTGAAGGGTGTGAAGCCCGGGGGTAGTCATCCAGCCCAGAGGGTAGGGTCTTGGGGTTCAGTAAGGTTGGTAAGGCAGGGTCCCGTCCCCGCCAGCGGTAAGATAGTGGAACTGGGCCTGCCTGGCTCTGATGGAGCCAGGAGAACCAGGCATGCAGGCGGGGGAAGGCCTTTCGGAGGAAGGCCAAGTCGTCAGGGTCACCAACCTCTAGCATATGGGCTACAGGCAAAAGTAGGGTTGGGGGGTTGGCATGGACTGCTCGTTGCACTAGGAATTCTGGAGGTACCCGGGCTCGAGCCTCATCCCCCAGTATCTGCTCCCTCCCAATCCAGCCATCAGCATTTAGCAGCCCCAGCCAGTGGCCTAGGGCTTCCCGGGTGAGGGAGGGATCCCACCGCTGAACCACCAGCTGGTGAAAGCCCTCATCCCAAAGGAAGCCTCGTGGGAAGAATGACCGGGAAGGCACTGCTGTAAAAAGAGGTAGGGGTGGAAAGAGGGCTGGGTCCACCTTCTGCTCAGACCCTTCCACCCCCATGTCTGGCAATACCAGTCCTTGTCCGTAGAAGTAGCCAATTCCACCAAGGAGGCTGCTGAGGGCAGCCTGACCCAAAGCCTGCTCACCAGGGCCCAGGCCCTTCTCCTTCAGCTGGAAGGTCTTCTCAAAGCGCTCTCTAAAGGCCTCAGCATGGCTCTCCAGGGCATGGGTCAGTAGACTGCCTGCCAGTCTTGGTAGGACTTGATTTCCTCCTGCCTGGGCACTGCCCGATTCAAACACAAACTCTATGGAAAAGGGAACTTTCAGGGTCACCTGCTGTATCAAGAACTGCCCCTGCCCTTGCCCACTTGGGCCTCTGTCCTCCCACTTCAGAGATCCTGGCAAGCCGAGGTAGCGTTCAGGGGAGGCCCCTGGGGGCCGATGCTGAAACCAGCTATTTAGGCGACTCTTTACCATCTCTGTCAGCAGGGGCAGTCCTGGGTTGGAGGTCCAGAAGACATTGTAGCTTGAAGGGGAGAAGATAAATAGGAAATATTATTCAAGAGAAGGCAGTGGGCATTATAAAGAGAAATACGAAATGTTCAGGAGTCAGGTTGGGAGGTCTCAGGCAGGGGACATGGAGACTGGTGAAAATGGGAATAACCACCCCTTCCATCCCTGAACATTCTCTTCCCCCAATTACCTGCCATACTTGGGGGCTGTATCCCCTGGACTAGTTGGTGGCAGAAGTGTAAAACGGAAGTCACCAAGTTCACTGGTGTGCCCACTGATGAACTTCAACTGCCCCTTGGACCCAACCTCCGGTATTAGGACTTCATTGCTATCTGTCACCACATAGAAGAACAGGGAGACCAAAGGGATGGCAGAAGTACCTGAGGCCTAAGTGACCAAGGAGGACAGAAAAGAACAGTGTTAGACTGGCATTCTCTCTTGAGAATCAGCCTTAGTGAGGGAAAGGAACAGCAGGCAGGGGTAATGTAAACAACATACATCTGGCAGTACTGAGGGTCACTGAGGGTAACCAGGTACACCCAAGTGGGATGAGATAAAGAGCCTTGCGCTGGGTGCCCTGGAAGATAACAGTATACTTTTGTACTATGTCCTACACTAAGAAATCTACACAGTTTATTTCATTTAATTCTTTTTTTTTTTGTGAGACACAGTTTCGCTCTTGTTGCCCAGGCTGGAGTGCAATGGCACGATCTTGGCTCAGTGCAACCTCCACCTCCTGGGTTCAAGCAATTCTCCTGCCTCAGCCTCCCGAGTAGCTGGGATTACAGGCATGCGCCACCATGCCCGGCTAATTTTGTATTTTTAGTAGAGACGGGGTTTCTCCATGTTGGCCAGGCTGGTCTGGAACTCCCGACCTCAGGTGATCTGACAGCCTCAGCCTCCCAGAGTACTGGGATTACAGGCGTGAGCCACCGCGCCCAGCCTCTTTTTCATTTAATTCTTACAGTCCTGTGAGTTAGGTGCTATTATTATCTACATTTTACATTTTACAAGCAAGGAAATCAAGGCTTAGAGATGCTCATAGAGGCAGCTGTTTAAGGCAAGATTTAAGCCAGGCAGCCAGAGCCCACTTCATGCTGCATTTGCTGGCAGCAAGGGAAGGATAGAGGGGGTCTGGGCTGAGAAAAGGGTGTCCTGAGGCCCTGACCTGAGGCTCTACAGTCACTCTCCAGCTCCAGTCCCCTCCGTGCTGACCCCCAGGCCTCTTGACGAACTCAGTGGTGAGCTTTAAGGCCCCATCCTGGATGTGCTGCCGCCCGAAGGAGAGGCCGTCGTGGAACTCCCAGCCATAGGGACCCACACCGTCCCCCTGCTCACACGTGTGCCTGAGCTTAGGAGTCCCCTGGGTGGTGCCCTGCTGCGCCCACATCAGTCCTGGGGGTAGAATGGCCACGTAAGTCAACGAGCAGGGGACCTGTCCCTCCGGGTCTCTGGGTCATCCCTCTTCATAACTCTCCTGATCCATTCCTCCCCATCCTTGATCTGGCTTCAAGCTGGGGCGCCCCCAGATTAGGAGTCCGCCTGCCTGCCCGCCCTGGGGCCCGGTTACCGGTGAGGAGTGGCTTCGGGCTGCGGGTCTTCATGCCGAAGTAGACGTGAGGGCGGTAAGTTCCCCAGAAGAGGTCCGGGGCCACGGCGGGGCTGGAGGAGTCGGCAGGCAACACAGGAGGCGCGGAGTGCA